ACAGGGGAGCCCCGGGCGTCCCGTTGATGCCCTGTGCCGTGCCCCGCAGCTCGACCCCGAAAACACCGGCTTCATCGGGGTGGAGACGTTCGCCAGCCTCGTGCACAGCCATGAGCTGCCCCTGGACCCCGCCAAGCTGGACATGCTGGTGGCCCTGGCACAGGGCAACGACGAGGGGCAGGTCTGCTATCAGGAGCTGGTAGACCTGGTCAGTGCCGGGGGGCCGCGGGGACGGGGGCGAGCGGCCGGGTGCCAGCCCGGGGTGGGCACTGGGCACCTCCCTGTGCCGCTGGGGAGGGGGGCAGACACCGGTGGTCCCCAGGGGCTCCCCTGGCATGGGATGATGGCACGACCTCGGGGGGGTTTGTCCGGCCGGTCCCACCGGGGTGGCGGCGACGGGCAGGGGGTGGCCACAAGCCCACCGGCCCGAGCTGCCCCTGCGGCCCCCGCGGGCACGGCCTCTCTCCGCAGATCAGCAGCAAGCGCTCGAGCAGCTTCAAGCGCGCCATCGCCAACGGGCAGCGAGCCCTGCCCCGCGACGTGCTGCTGGACGAGACCGGCCTGGGCTTCTACAAGCGCTTCGTCCGCTACGTGGCCTACGAGATCCTGCCCTGCGAGATGGACCGGCGCTGGTACTTCTACCAGCACCGCACGTGTCCGCCCCCCGTCTTCATGGCAGCCGTCACCCTCACCCAGGTACGGGGCTGGCACCAAGGCTGAGCCTGGCTGAAGTGTCCCGGTGCCCACGGGTGGCTCAGACCTGGGGTGGAGGGGACGAGTGACACCAGTTGTGATGGCCCGGTGCCCTCATGGGGGGGCTCAGACCCAGGACAGGCGACCCTGGTGGTGTCCCAGTGCCCATATCGGGGGCATGGGTGACCCTGGTGGTGTCCTGGTGGTGTCCTGGTGGCCGCGGGGGGGCTCAGACCCAGGGTGGAGGGGACGGGTGACCCCGGTTGTGATGTCCCAGTGCCCATATGGGGGCATGGGTGACCCTGGTGATGTCCTGGCACCCATATGAGGTCTCAGACCCTGGGTGGAGGGGATGGGTGCCCCAGTTCTGATGTCCGGGTGACCGTGGGGGGCTCTGACCCGGGGCAGAGGTGCCGGGTGCCCCACGTCCCAGCACCCTGCCCCAGGCCAGAGGGCCGGGCGGGGGGTCTGGGCGGTACCGGTGCTGACGGCCCTGGGGTTTGGCGCAGATCATCGTGTTCCTCTGCTACGGCGCCCGCCTGAACAAGTGGGTGCTGCAGACCTACCACCCCGAGTACATGAAGAGCCCCTTGGTCTACCACCCCGGGCACCGGGCGCGCGCCTGGCGCTTCCTCACCTACATGTTCATGCACGTGGGGTAGGTCCCCGCCGGGGTGGGGGGGACGCGGGGGGCTGCGTGGGCTCCAGCCACCGCCTGTCCCCTCCTGTTCCCCGGGCAGGCTGGAGCAGCTGGGGTTCAACGCCCTCCTGCAGCTGATGATCGGGGTGCCCCTGGAGATGGTGCACGGCATCCTGCGCATCAGCTTCCTCTACCTGGCCGGCGTCCTGGCAGGTGGGTGCGTGCCCGGGGCGGGGGGTGGCTGTCCCCATCGGTCCCCCCCGCCCGGCCGGGGCGGCGGTCCCCATCGCCAGCCCCGGGGAGGGCACGGGGAGATGCACCCCGAGTTTGACGGGGATGCAGGGCTTCGCCGGCCGCCCGCCGGGG